GGCCACTCCCTCTTGCTTCCCCCCTCCAGTCCCGTCTCACTCGCTACTCTTCCCTTCTCTCTCACTAGTCACGACTCACGGTCAAATCGCGTCTCGTTCGTGCGCGGTGGCAAACCGTACCCTTGGGTCAACAACCCTGGACCTGCCATCCCGGTTTCCATTCGTCCTACTGTTCTGTTTTTTTCGGTTGTTCGTCACGGGTGTTCTCACTCTTCAACGTCTGCGATTTTCTCTTTCCTGATCTTGTGTTGTTGCCCCGGCCACTTGCGACCCTTCTCCACCACGACCACTACTAAGTACACTCACTACCCACCGACGATAACAACAACTCATCTCGCTCCGCAACGCTTCTCAAGATCACTTTCTCCAAGCCCCTCCAACAACAAAAACAACCACCGATCGCCTGCGCCGCTTTCATCGCTCCGTCTGTTTTTGCACCATGCCTTTATCGAACCGCCGCCGCGCGCGGCGCAAGGAGATTCAGCTACAAGAGACATCCGACGCAGAGGCCCCGGATTCGTCGCCGACGCGACCGTCAAACAAGAAGCGCAAGGTGAGTGCTCCCGCTGAACAACGATCAACGTCTTGACAAGAACCGTCGATTAATTGTCCACTGTTGCGGTCAGGTCGAACATTCTCGAGTATCCCCACAAACGCGCCCGATCAAGCCCGAATCCGCCGACGAAGCCGACGAGGACCAGGACCTGTCGGAGAATCAAGACCTCGTTGACCTGGTAATATCATATCTCGAGGCTGCACGCGAAGAGGTTCGAGTTCTTCGCGACTATTCCAACACCAAGACGGAGGCAGAGCAGAGCATTCGCGCCTACGCCAAAATTGCCGGTCGCAACTGGACTTACTATGTGAAGACCCTCCATGTCAACATCGGTCGCGAACCCGACCGCGAGCAGAAGCTGGATGAGCAGTCGAGTCCGGTCACGATCGCCGCGCGCGCTCTTCCGGAGGTGAATGTCGATCTGGGCCCCAGCAAGTTCGTCTCGCGCTTGCACGCCGAGATTTTCTACGATGGTGAGGACACGGGCTCATGGCACATCCGTGTCAACGGTCGCAACGGAGTGCGCCTCAACAGCGTCATCCTCAAGCGCGGAACCGACGCCGTTCTCTCTTGCGGCGATATTATCGAGATCGCCAACACCCAGATGATGTTCGTCACCCCGGGCGACAAGGCGACCATCCACCCCAGCTTCGTGGATCGAGCGCAGCGACTGGCAAACGGCGAGGAAGAACCCGCTGCCTGGGACGCCAGTCAACACGCCCATCCTCATGCTTCTCACTCGTCGACCAACACCGCTGGGACTGCCGCACCCGCACCGCCATCATTGGCACCCGCACCGCAATTCCTCAAGCGCCAAGTGACCCCTCCTCCACGGTCGCCCGACACCGTGGGGGCCCGAACCGCCAAGCAGTCCCCTCTGTATAACCGCGGTATGATGATGGAGAGTACGGAAGAGATTGATTATAGCAAAGATTCGGCCAAGGACCTCAAGCCGCCGTACAGCTACGCGAATCTGATTGCCCAGGCAATCTTCTCCAGTGAGGAGGAGAAGCTTACTCTGAACAATATCTACAACTGGATCATGGATAAGTACGCTTTTTATCGGCATTCTCAGAGCGGCTGGCAGGTGAGTGTTCAATTCCGAATGGAGGTTTCTAACAGCGCTAACCGGCGCCAGAACTCGATCCGTCATAATTTGTCGCTGAACAAGGCGTTCCAGAAGGTGCCGCGGCGCACAGACGAGCCGGGCAAGGGAATGAAGTGGCAGATCGCACCCGAGCACCGCGAGGAGTATTGGAAGAAGCAGCTGCGTAAGGGCACGCAATCGTCGGCTCCATCATCCCCTGCAACCAAAGTACCCGATCGCCGGGGCTCCACCAACGGCATGGAGGCCGTATTTAACAGCAAAAAGTCTCCACCAGTATCGTCCCCCGGTTTCAGTTCATTCCCCGTGGCCCCAGTCGAGGCGTACACTCCCGAACGAGGATCTCGTGCCAGCCGGAATGGAGCAGCGGAGCACAATCTACGCCCACCCAACACACGTGACTATGAAGAGCCTTCGCCGCTCCCGACCCGATCAGCGACGAAGAACGCGGGTAGCAATGGGGCCAGTCTCAGTCGAACATATGGGTTGTCGGACGCGGTCGTGGGATCACCTCCAGTACTGTCATCGTCGTACTATGATGACGGTCCATCGTCGATGATTACCCCCGCCCCACAGCGGCAACAGCCGCGCCTGCCCCCTCCGAGCACGGCGCAAATACCCTCCAAGTTCATGCCAATGAGCTCACCGGCGCAGTTCTGGAAATTTGCGGATATCGGCAGCACGCCGGCGCGACCGGTACCCGACATGAGTCCGCTCAAGGGAGACCCCGGGGATGTACTAGGCAGTATCCCGAGCAGCAGTCCGCCACCCCCCAACCTCGCCAGTCCTAGTAAACCAGGAACGACAGGCATGGCTACCGGTCGTGTGTTGCCGCCGCCACGGCGAGAGCCTGAGCCACAGGGTGGTCGTCGTCCTGCCCCTGGCACGGAAGAAGAGGAAGAGGACGAGAGTGGGTTTGATTTGGCGAGGTAGGCAATTTTCTCTCCGTCGGTATAGGTTCAATGGCAGAAGCTAACCGCGGCTTGCAGAGGCTTCCAAACGATCGGGTCATATCATCGCCAGCTCAGTAATGCGGCGCGCACCAGTGCAGCGACATCGTAAGGAGGAATGGCCTGTTTACTTTGCTTTTGTTATTCTTCTGCCAGAAAGGCATCCAAAACGACGGTAGGCCCTCAGGGATTATGGGACCATGGCTGTATGTATTGATGTAATTGTAGATATTGCTAATGATTTGATGTAGTCCTTTTTTTTTTTCCGTGTCTTGTTAGGTTGTATCGTGTACATGTATATATATACTCACTCGCATTGCTTTTGACACTTAATCCGATCGCCTCCTACCTATTTACATGTGACCCCGGTCCATCACATACATACGGTACCTGCACCGTGCAAGGTTCCTTCCTGTCCACGGAACCTGGAACCCCAGCCAGAACAACAGATTGAAAATTAGATCTCCGGCCAAAACTGCCCCTCCAACCAAACGACCTGCCTCCACCACCGCGCGCACCGCTCAACCACCTCCTCCCTGGCATTCGGGGAAGATGAACGCGCGACCTCCCGCTCCGCCACCGCGTCCACCAGCCGCGTGATCCCGGCCACGAACGCCTCGAACTCGGGCCCCGTCCAATTGGGGATCAGCTGCTCGCGCAGCGCACCCCCATCCGCATCTTCCCCGTCGGTGTGGTGCTGTCCCATCGCGTCCCGCACATTCCGCCACACCGTCAGGTAACACACCTCCGTCGCCCAGAGCACCACCAGCCCTTCCAGCAGGGACGTGCCCGCCGCCCCCGCCGAGACGAAGAGATCCGTGTACGCGGTGGTGATGGGCGAGGCGGTGAAGGGGCCGGCTGCTGCTGCGGCCGCGCCGGGTGCGGCGGCCGGGAACGGCGCCTGCAGATCCAGCGCGTACTCGGCGGCGACGGCGCGGAAGAAGTCCAGTTCGCGGACGATGTTGGTCAGGGCGGCGGTGAGGGTGTGCAGGGTCTGGGATTCGAGGGTTTCGGGCTCGTTTTCGGTGGTGGTGTTTTGGGGGTTGGTGGGGAGGTGGAGCTTGGCGAGCAGCGCCCCGATGAACCGGATGTAGGCGTGGATGTACAGGCGGTCTTGGGCGAGCCAGGCCGAGAGCCGCGGTTTGGGGAGCGTGCCGGCCGCGGCGGCGGAGAGGAACGGGTGGGCGGTGGCGGAGGTGGCGGTTGCGAAGGTGGTCGGGGGCGGGAGGGGGAGGGTTTGGAGGGTGGTTGTTAGGGGCATTTTTTTGAGGGTTTTGTTGTGGGGATTTGTGGTGGTTGTTGTTGTTGCGGTTGCGGTTGTTGAGGAGGGTGTTGTAGGGTGAAAGAGAGGGGTGGTGGTGTTCGTGGTGTATCAGGTGGGTGGGGGAGGGCGTGGGAAATGATAAGTTAAGGTTCGGTTAGGGTTGGGGAAAGTATACTTCCAGACAGGCTACAGACAGGCTACGACTGAGTCCGGGCCCTGACATAATTACTGTGTACGCGGCCGTGGGACAAGCAAAGCTGCATGTTTCATTGTCACGAGTCACGAGTCCTAGTCAACTAGTCCGAGTCCAAAATCCATGTCTGTTCGTGACTGTCGATCTTCGGAGATATCACATCTGTCAGAAAAGCAGAAACTCAATTGCCATCCTTGTAGCCCAGGATACTAGCCACCAACGCCTCAAGCGCATAATGCGCATCGTTGCCCGCATTGTGAAGATGCCACGGCTCCAGGCCCAGCTCCGTCATCACCGTCCCCAGGGATCGGGGTTGCATCGGCTGTTGCTGCTGCGGATCGGCATGCATAGCGCAATCAAGCCCGGCAGTGTCCAAGCGATCATTCACCATCTCCAGCTTCACCCCGATTTTGCGTAGGTGTTCCAAATCAGCGGCGAGACTGTGGCCAACAAGCACCACATGACGATCCCCCGAGTCATCTTCTTTCTTCTCGGCGACAGCCACCTGCTGGAACGCCTCCTGCACGACCCCCTTCAGTTTTTCCAGGCTCACGAACTCGCTGGTCCCGAACCGGAAGTCCCCTGGGCAGCCCCTCACGAACTCATTGTTGACCAGGTGACTGTACTCGCGCACGCGCAAGTGACGGGACCGGATGGCCCGGCGCCAAATGACCCCATCAATCGAAGAGGGTCGCACGCCGTGCAGCTTGCGCATATCCAGCACCGAGAGGCCGACCTCCGTGATCTGGGAACTGCAGCGCTCGTTCCATTCCACATCCACACTAACGAAGACAGGATCCTTCCAGAACGCGAACGGGGCCACGGCATCCATGTTAAACGGGGCGTATTTCAGGGATTCGTCGATGGTGCCCGCGGGCCGCATCCCCAGGTACTGTTGCGCGCGGAGCAGCGACTCCTTGCGCCGGTGTTCGAGCTCCATGCGTTGCTGCTGCTTCTGGGCCGTGCTGGTCTTTTTCTTGCTCTTCGTGGCGTCGCAGGCGGCTTCCAGCATCGCCTCGTAGGCAACGGCTAGCTCCTTGTGCTCGTCGCCCAGGTCTTTCCAGGGGTCGAGGTAACGCTCAGATGGGGGTGGCACACGGGCTTGCAGACGGTCCTTGGTCTCACGGTTGGTGCTCGTTCCCAGAAATTTCGGCTGCGGGTATGCATCATTGTCGAAGGGGAGGACTAGGCCCATGTCGCGCTCCGCTGGGAGTTGGAGGGTGCAATTGAGGGTGCGGTTAATCTCACCGAGGAAGCGGCGGGCGTGTCTGGCGGGGGTGAGTAGAATGCTTCGACAGCCCAGGCTGGCGGGCGTATAGTGGTAGTAACTGGCAAGCACAAAAAGACATTAGTGGGGATAACAATGTTTTGCTGGAAGGGGGATGAGAATACATGTCCCAAGATCGGGCCCAGAATTGATTCTTGTCGAAGAACCGGCTGGCTATCTGCTGAGACAGGCTGTCGTCTTTGATGAGCTTGTATGGGTAACGTGAGAGAGCGATAATGGGAGTGAAAGTCTGGTCGCTGGGGTCTTCGTGCAAAGACTCGTCAGTCGCCGTACGTTCTTCGGAGTACAACTGTTCGGACTTGGGCGCTGTGCGCTTGGTTCGCCCTGGTCTTATGCTGACATGCTGCAGTTCGCCGAGCACGAGTTCTTCGAGTTCCGGTCCTTCGAGGTCGCTCTCGATGAGCGGGTGCTTCTGGGAACCGGCCTCCTGGGACTTAATAACCTCAAAACGAACTTCCTTGAGCTCGCCATCATGCTTGATGTTCTCGGACTGGACACTCTCTGGCTTGATGTTCTCAGGCTCTGTTCCTTTGAGCTTGGCCTCCTCAGATTGGGAGTCCTCGGGTTGGTATTCCTCAGTCTTGGTGTTCTCTACCTTTGTTCCTTCGCAGTATGCTGTGAAAGTGGGCTTCTCGAGCACTCTCTCTTCTGATAGATGAGGAGTGAGAATTGTTAGTCTATCATATTTTATACTATGCGAAGTAGAGCAATCGATGCTTCAGGCCAATGTGTTTGCACGCATCCCCGGTAGGATTCCGGAACCAGTCAACTTACGGTTGAGACGAGTGTCCATCTTCAACAGCTCGTCCTCCCCAGCAAATAGGTAGTCGAGACGCTGCACTGGTGTCATTTCGGTGGGTTTTGACTTTTGACAACGTGATTGAACAGCGAAGAGGATTGATGGCAAGGCAGATGAGAAGAAGAAGGAGGTGGGAAGAAGAAAATGGAAGAGATGAGCAGGAGGGGCAAAACATGTCGTTTGCCTGGGGAACAAACGGTGGGAGCCTGTGAGTGTGCAACATTGTAGCAAGGAGGTACCTGCTACAAGTATCGACCAATTCACTCTCTTTTTTGTATTTCATTTCATTTCCGTTTCTGTTTGTGTGTTGTACTACATTCACTATATGTAGCGGGACAAATACTAGTCTACTAGTAGGCAACTTTTTCATTACATCAGTGAAGCGAGTACTGCGATCTGTGTCAACATTGCTGGTTGTATATATCAGAGCCGAGCATATTCATATTATGTTTGTTGGTGTTTGTTAAGGCGTACAGCATTTATACTACCTGCTAGTACCTACCAATACCTGACCAGTCAGCATCACAAGTTTCCACCACCCAGCTCAACCCATATACTGTACATACTGGTAAAGCCTTCGGGCAATTAAGGTGACTTCACATAATACATCATTCGGCATTCATGTTACTTTCCAACAACATGCAGAATATCAACATCTCTCGGTCTCCACAGTTGACAGCGGTCGGATCAATCTTTTTCCCATATCTCTGCTGAGTCATTTCTCTATCCAGCCAATCATTGCTTATGCCCTTCCACTTCCACTTCAGCTTCACCCAACAATAACAGGACAATTGAACAGCTCAACCGATCGATCGTTCGCCATTCTTTCTTCGATTTGCAGCTGGTAGCTTGTGCAGACTATTCTGTCTGGCAAGCTCTCCCCATCCATGTAAAAGTGCGGACCAGTCCCTCTTCATGGCCGCACCCTCGCCCAGGGTGCCGTCCGTCCACCACCTGTGACCATCTGTCCGCCCGTTCCTTCGACGCGCCTTCTTTTGCCCCCTCCCTCTCGCCTTCCCACTCCTACACTCTCTCCGTTTACTTGCTGGATGGTATGGCGGACTACCACGACCCTGGGGGCCTCATTCTGGATGGGCCTTTTGACCCCGACGCCCAAGCCACTGTCACTGACTACATTGACTACACCGAATACCTGCCCGCCGACCTCCTCCGTTCCCTCACTCTCATCCGCGGCCTCGATGAGCGCTACCTGGACGCAACTCAGGGCGTCCACGAGTTAACCAGAACATATGGCCGCCTTCCTGACCTTCCTTCCGATCGGCGTCCCGATGCGCGCGCGCTGCGCAAGGACATCTCCGCCCAGCTCGATCGCGCCATCAACGCGCGCGAGTCCGCCTACGCTGAAGCTTGCCGCCTATACGAGGTCATTGACCGTCACTACAGTCGCCTCGATTGCATCAAACGCAAGCTAGAGGCTCTTCCCAAACCCGCATCGCGCGAACCCACACCACCTCCCGCTCCTCCTGTACAGACACTCACAACCACCAAGCGCGGCCGATCGGTCAAGAAGGTTGACGAGAATGCGGTGGCTCCTGCGCCGCCGCCTACGCGCATTACCTTGCGCCTTGACAGCCGAGAAGGTAGTCGCGCAGGTGCGCAGCCCAAGTCGCGCACCCGTCGATCGCTCATCGCCGCCGAACATTTGACCGACTTTAACCCCGATTCCCCCATCGCCAGTACAGAACATTCTGACGACGAGGCAAACGCTCCGGCAGCGTCCTCTGATTCTCAGCTGAAGTCGAAACCCGCCGCTGCTCCCCCTCCCGTTGCTTCTGTGGACTCCTCTACTCCCACAACCGCCACTTCACCTGTCAAAGAGAAGAAAGCCGCTCGACGTTCACGTGGGTCTGTGCTGGTTCCTGGGGTTCCAGGTACCAGTGCACCTTCCATATCGATCAGCGGTGCGCTGGCTATGCTCAAACCACCGCCTGAAGATGCCAAACCTGGCAGTGAGGACATGCCGTGGTTGCGGCTGACTGAGTGGGAGATGACCAAGCTTCGCAAGAAGATGAAAAAGAACGCGGTGTGGCAGCCGAGTGAAGTCATGATTCATCGCGAGTTGGCGCTCCGTGGTCGCGGTTGGGAGGCTTACCGAAAGGCCAAGGCACAAGCTGATGCGTCCGGGACTGAATTCCTCGACTGCGACGACATCATGAACACGTACATTCCTGGCAAGCTAAGCAAGCTCGGTGAAGCACCTCTTGACATTGAGGCACCGTTCGAGACCAAGCTAAGCAACAGAGGCATGAAGTTGAACGAGGCCAAGAAGCTTAAGCGGGAGAACCAGGCGCGTGAGCAGGCGGCGGCAGCCGCTGCTGCAGCCGCTGCGGCCGCCGGCGCAGGTGATAACACAACAGCAAAAAGCCCTGACCAGCCTACTTTAACACCCAAAGAACCTTCCGCTACAGAAGCGTCACCAGTTACAAGCAAACCGGGTCGTTCTACCGCAAAGAAACGCAAGGCGGACGAAATAACTCCGCCAGAGGCGACTCCTGTACCTCCTGCAGCTCCTGATACTGTTACTCCTGCTCCCATTACTGTGACTTCTCCAACTCCCGTGGCGTTCTCACCCACAGTTGCTCCCACCGCTTCCCCTGTGGCAGCGGCCGCTACGGCAGATTCAACAAACCCAGTAGCTCCGGAGTCTACAGACGCTCCAGAGGATACAGAAGCTCCAGAAGTTGCAGACGCTTCGGTGATTCCAGAGGCTGCAAAGGCTCCAGAGACTTCCGAGGCTCCAGCTGCGCCCGCTGAATCCATCACTCCTACCGAGGTAGAGACACGAACCTCGTTGCACAGTGCCAGCAAACGCCGTCGGATTAGCAAGGAATCCTCTACCCTTATCGAGAGCAACGCAACCATGCCAGACCTGGCGCCATCGACCGGTCCAGATGCTGCTGCGGCTGAATCAGCCGATACGCAGAAGCAGCCAGTCTTGTCATCCCCAGTCAGCAATAAACGGTCTCTCCCCCCTCCAGCCTCAACTACTACCGGCAAAGCATCAGCCGCTGGCACGCCCACACCACCGGTCACTCGACCTTCTTCCCGCCGGGGTGCAGCCCTGTCAGCGGAACCGACCAGCAACGCGAACACCCTGCCAACAACCGGCCGCGAGCTCCGCCGGAAGAGCGCCACGCCTGCGCGACGCACGCCTGTACCGGAGACGGCCCGTGCCACGAGTGTCAGCGCACCGCATCGCAAACGGAAGCGCCCTGCGCCCGGTCCCGTATCTTCAGGTCAAGATGGCGGGGCCGCAGTCAGCTACGGCCGACGCAAGGCCAAGCCGGGCAAAAAACGCGTCAATTTGCTCGAGGGGGATTTACTGAACCGCGACGACATTCGCATTGACGAGGACGGTGTCCTAGAGGAGATCGACCCTAACGAGCCGCGATACTGTATCTGCGGAGATGTGAGTTTCGGGACCATGATTTGCTGTGAGAACCCGGATGTAAGCTGTTCCCCTCATTTCCCAGTCCTTCCCATAACTATCCAAATCTAACAATCAACCAGTGTGATCGCGAATGGTTCCACCTGGACTGCGTGGGTCTGTCGGAAGTGCCCAGTCGAACCGCGAAATGGTATTGCCCAGATTGTCGAGTGAAGTTCAACAAGGGAGTGGATGGGATCGTGAAGAACAACCCTCGGCGGTGATGGATCGTCTTGATATCGATCCACTACATTTTCTTTTCCTTTTCCTTTTTCTTTCTTTCTTCGATCTCCTCCACCCGCCGTCCGCCCACCTCTGGAAAAGATTTTTCATCCCCTCAAAGTAGTGGCGGCGGCCTGCTACGAGACCACGATCTGCCAAATTTTCGTTCCCTTCTTCCTGTGCCCGTTCGAAGACTTATGTATTCATCTCGGCTTCCTTATTTGGGGGTGGTTGTTTTTTAGTTCTGAAGGTTCAGTTGTTCCTCGTTCTGTGATTCGCAGCGTGGCGAAAGTGATTGATTGGGTGGGAGTTCGAGGGAGTTTTGATTCTCTTTGTTTCAAAAAATTGGTGATACCATGACAGATCGATCTATCTCGCTCGGTAGTCCATAATTCTCTTTCTCTCTCTTTCATCTCATTACCCTATTTTTCTGTGTCGTTTTTTATTCTACGAGAGAGACATAGGGATATTTACCATGGAACTATTTTCCTTTCGTTCTTACAAGCCACAAACTACGATGTTTACTAATATTCAGGTGCTTGAGTAAGATGTTTACATACGTTAACAAAAACATGCGCACTATATACACTGGTCTGCATCATCATGGTGGTCGTCAGAGAAAATGTTCTATAGATTTACTTCAACTCCCACTGGCCGTCGGCACTGACGATCTCGACCGACCGCTTCTCATCCAAGGAGACCCGACCGGCGTGCAGGATCGCCGTCGTGGCGATGGTGTTCTGCAGCGTGGGCAGAGGTCTGGCGTCCAACTGGTCTAGCGTGACGCGACCCTCGTTGAGGGCGGTGACGGCATCAATGAACTTCTCGAAGCTGATGTATCCGTAGCCCGTCTGGCCGCCGAAGTTGCCCTCTTCGTCGGGGGCGTACTTCATGTAGAAGCTGGATTTTGGATTTTCGTTAGGGGATTCGTTTCATTGGGGACAGGAAGAAGAGGGAGCTTACGGGTTCACCCAGATCAATCCCTGCTCATCTTCGGTGACATCGTAGCCACGCTTGGCTTGGTTCACGCGGACTTCACCCTTGGAGCCCATGTCTGACACGGTACATGTTAGCAAGCTGCTCCTCCACTTGAAGATTATGGAAGGGAAGGGAGAGAACATACAGTGGAAGTACTGGTTCGAGTGGACGCCGGCCTTCTGCGGCGCCGTCCAGCTGGCGGTATACACGCCGGTGGCCAAGCGGCCGCTGCCGTCCTTCTTGCGCCACTCCACGAGCAGGGTGATGGTGTCCTCGGTCTGGTTGGCGCAGCCCAGCTCGGTAGCGGTGCCGGTGGCGGCGCTGGCGGTGACCTTGACGGGCTGGTAGTCCGGGACCATGCTCTCGTTGATGTCGATGTGGTGGGAGTTGAGGTAGTAGGAGATGTCGGAGTCCTTGCCGGCCCAGGCCTTGAAGGTCTCCAGCTGCGACTTGGGCTGGCTCATGTAGCTGTAGAAGTAGTTGAAGTCGCCGAGGCGCGCCGCCTTGGCGCGCGCGTCGCTGTACGCCGGGTCGAAGCGCTTGTGGTGCTCGATGAACACCAGCACCCCGTGCTTGCGCGACTCCGCCAGCAGGTCCAGGTGGTCGCGCAGCAGCTGCGTCGCCGGCTTCGTGATCAGCACGTGGATCCGCCGCTGGATCGCGTACAGCGCGATCGGGTAGTGCGTCGGGTCCGGCGTGAAGATCGTGATCGCCGACCCCGCCGGCAGCGCGTCGATGGCCGCCTTGTACGCCTCCGGGTCCGTCGTCCCATCCGCCGGGAACGAGGTGAAGCTCGTGTCGAGGTTGTTGTACACTTGTGAGATGTTGCGGTGCAGGTGGTCGCCTGTTTGGGGGGTTTGGGGGTTTCCCCGTTTATTAGTAACCTTGTGCAGTGTGTTTCAATTGGGGCTTTGTTTTGTTTCGGAGTGCAACGTACGGATGCCAGGGAACTTGGAGCCGGATACTCCCACCATGCTCAATTCGCCCACTTTGCCCCGACGGCGCAGGTCGAACAGCGTCAGACCCACGACTCCGACTTTCTTGTCAGAGGTCGAGGCTGTCCCACCGACGTAGCCGGTGGTGTACTCGCCCGTTCCTACCTGTTATGCAGTGTTAGACTTCCTGGTTGGGATTTGGTGGGGGAGGGGGAGGGGAGGGGAAGCCTTACCATCAACACAGCGGGAGGAGCCATTTTTGTGAAGTGTGCAGGGAGGGTGATGTGGAGGAAGGGTTGAAGTTTGTGGTCGAGAAAAATGAGCAAAAGAAAAGAAACAAGAAATCAGCAAAGAAGTGGGCGTCAGGAGGATTTATCCACTGGACTGGAGACCTGCGGGGTTCAATAGCCGACGTGGAGGAAGAAAGAGGGAGGGAGGGAGGGATTTCTAGCACGGACAATTGCATCAATCAATGATACTTTGAGCGGAAGAAAGAAGATACTCGTGATGGCTGAGGTAAATTTGATTGTTCTAGACAGACCATACCTTGTAAGACTGGCTGGGTAGGTAATACCTCTGTCAATGACATCGAGGTCGAGTGTATGCAACCTGCATCGGCGTTTGAAGCGAGTCTGCTCCAAACCGCCCAAAAGAGGCAAGTCGACTGCCGGCAGTTGGTGATTGGTGGAGAAATGGCCTCCGCGCCGGCCGTGGGGTTGACGGATTACGGGCCGGTTACCATTTCAATACACGCGGGGTAAACATGAGGGGTTATAAGAATCTCCCTGTCTGTCTACACTTCTACACTTCTACACTTTTTATTCTTGCAATCCTCCTTAATTGATTCTGTTCTTCTATCCCCATTCTTATATTCAATTCAAGCATTCTATTCTTCTCACAGCCTGTCAAGTAAGTTCGTCCCTAACCAAGGTGAGTCTCTTGACCTAACTTCGAAGCGCAGAATGTCCCGCACTCCCCTTCGCCCCGGAGTTTACGCTCCCACTATGACCTTCTTCAACCCAGACACCGAAGACCTCGACGTTCCCACCATTCGTCGTCACGCCGTTCGCCTCGCCAAGGCCGGTCTCGTTGGTCTCGTCTGCATGGGCTCCAACGGTGAAGCCGTGCACTTGACCCTGGCCGAGAAGAAGACCGTCATCAGCGAAACCCGCTCCGCCTTGGTTGATGCTGGATTCTCCAACGTCCCCGTTATCGCGGGTGCCAGCGAGCAGAGCATCCGGGGTACGATTGCCCTGTGCAAGGAGTCCGCGGATGCCGGAGCCGAATACGCCCTCATTGTTCCCCCCAGCTACTACCGCTACGCCGTGGGCAACGACCAGACCATCTACGAGTACTTCACCGCCGTTGCCGACGAGTCGCCCATCCCCCTCATCCTCTACAACTACCCTGGTGCCGTGGCCGGCATCGACATGGACTCCGACCTGATCATCCGCATCTCCCAGCACCCCAACATCATCGGCACCAAGTTCACCTGCGCCAACACCGGCAAGCTTACCCGCGTCGCCTCGGCCCTGCACGCCATCACTCCTGACTCCCCGTTGAACCCGGCCGCCCGGAAGTTCCCCAACACCAAGACTGAAGCCAACCACCCCTACGTCGCCTTCGGCGGTATCGCTGATTTTGCGCTGCAGACCCTCGCCTCGGGTGGCTCCGCCATCCTGGCGGGTGGTGCCAATGTCATCCCCAAGCTGTGCGTGCAGATCTTCACCCTCTGGAGCGAGGGCCGCTTCACGGAAGCGATCGAGGCACAGGCGCTGTTGAGCAAGGCCGATTGGGTGCTCACCAAGGCCGCTATCCCCGGCACCAAGAGCGCTATCCAGAGCTACTACGGCTACGGTGGTTTCCCCCGCAAGCCCTTGGCTCGTCTCAGTGAAGAGCAGGTTCAGGCTGTAGCAGAGGGCATTAAGGATGCGATCGAGGTGGAGAAGACGTTGCCGGATGTTGCCTAGATCTTGTCGTCTTCCCTTCCTCTTCTCTAGACCTTTTGTATATATGATGAAAATGAAACTTTGATTCTCTCTTCCAACTCTCCAACTCCTAGAGCTTCAAGGATCGCAAAACTCGCATTTTCGCAGCGGAAGAGGGGTAAGGTGAAATGGGATGAATTGACCCGAGCCGGACTTCTATCCGAACTCCGAGAGGGAGGGACCCCCACGCCAGTGACTGTCAGGTAGGGGCTGATTGGTGGAGGGTTTTCTCCGAGTGGGTAAGTCGTTGGGGATGATGGGAGTGTGAGACTACAACAGGAACTTATATCAAGCTGAATTAATGCCACTGGCATCGGTCATGTTGTGTATTCCTGACTTATGCCGATTATGCTGACTTAAGCAGTTCAACGGTTTTGAGGAAAGTTTGCAGCCATCAAGCTCTTCTCCGCCCCAATCTCAGGCTATGCGGCTGTCAATAGGATCTGCATCGACCACAAACATCGATGCTGGAACTCAGATATGACCCCCAGCAAGGAGGATATGTGGACCCCTACACAGACCACGACCATATCTACATCACATGTACATCGTGGTATGGGATGATTGAGCATAGGTTTTGCTCTGGAGGGCAGTATGCTCCTTGTCTCGCAGAAGCATCTGACTGGAAGATTGTCTTTTCTGTGAAATTGAGATGATCCCAGCTTGAACGAACGAATCATGGTGCACTGCGCAGCATGCATGACTCGAAAACAGACTTCACGTGAAACGAGGCAAAGAGAATTGATCATTATCAGAATTCGGAGCACATAGAGAGCTCAAGCACGCGGAGAGCCAAAAACTGCTACGTAGTCAGACCGTCTCGGGGTTACAACCGGCCAGGAACAGGAGTATGCAAGCCATACCTAGCCTGGAACTCCATGCAGTCTTGCCAATCGAGAAAGATGGCCATCTTATGTTCAGGTTTAGAGATTGTACCCAACCAGTTGGCGGTGTTCTCCGACTCACGCAGCAATTCAACCCAATGCCACACTGAAAAGACTTGGACACTTATCTACAGCGATGCGGCCTGAGCAAATCAATCAATGCCTGATCATGTTTGCAGCGTAGATTCGACTTCATGATATGGCCGATTGTCGGGCCAGATGGGCATTGTGAAAGAGCCAACTGGCTAGGGGGGGGGGGGGGGGGGGGGAGGGCGCAGTGGGCCAGACCACAACCGAAGGCAAACCCCACGGGGGCGGGCGGGAAGGAGATGGAGTCGATCGGGAAAAAAGGGGGGCGGTCGGGAGACTGACTGCCCTTGGGATTTCACTCCATTTGCATTGCATTCAACATGCCAATTCGTCTCGAAGGAGTGGTCTGTTCATGCCAAACACTAAAAAGCTGGAACTATGTAGCAGATTGGAGACATGATCCAACCTTTTTGCCAGATCATCCATTAGGCAGCCAGGTCGATGCCAAACCAACTCACTCCCCTCCTACACCCTATTGATGTACCGTGACTGTCGAACCATGAGTACGAGTAGATTACAGTCAGCCTTAACCAGGGGAAAAAGAGAGAAGGACAACCATGGGAAAGGATGGGATGGAAGAACAGAAAATTCATTGTTGACCCAGTCTGTCAGTCCGCCACTTCCAATCGGATGAAGGCAAATCCGCAAAGTGGCGTCTCACCGCCCCCTCCCCCAAGGGCGCTCGCCGCTGACACCTCTTTTCTGCCCATTCATTATTATTCATTGCGGGAGTATTGTCTTTCATCCCGGTCATTCATCAATCATCTTTTCCCCTGATCCTCATTTTTGTTTTTCTGCTTTTCTTTTTCTTATCTTTTTCTTTTTCTCATTTCATTCTCGTCTCTTTCTTATTGTGTCGATTTTCTTGTGATTAGTTCTTCTTTTTTACCACTTCTGTTCTGTCTCATATTTTCTCCTGATTCTTTCGCCCTCGCCCTCTCTTTTTCTGTCTCAACCTCCTCTAATCTATCATCATCTCTACCTCCTTCGTTTCCTCCCTCCCCTCCATTCTTGGTTTTATTCTGGTGGTTGGTGCGGCTTATAGGCGTCTTCATCAGTCTTGTCCCTCGTTCAATCATCGCCCTTGCCTACACCTTTTCAGCTTCGGGTCCCCTATTACCTCAGCTCGTCGGCGCTACCTGATACAGCACAGCCTCCCTTGCGTATTATCCCCCGATAGTGTGGTTATAACTGTCTGCTATACCTCACGGGTGATCGCTCCCGCGTGACCATCCTCTGCCCCTCTGAACGGTCGTCCCTCTCGACAAATTTGCAACAGATTCGACACAATGGCACCAAGAGACAACATCGCGGGCACCTCCCGCCGTCGTCCCTCACTTTCTTTCCGCACTCGACCTCGGACATCCACCGTATCGACCGTTCAGACCATCGGATCAGATCACGAGCTCTGGCATGGGCTTCCTGTTGTCGACTCGGAAGACGATGGGTACGATGGGGAGGCGTTGGAGGAACATCACATAGGAGAGCAGGTTCTGGAAGACACAAATCAGTTTCCCGAACCCGCCCCAAGGCGCCGCGGAGCGAAGAGCTTCTCCAGTCTGCGGCATCCCGTGAATGGGTTGCGCGCTTTGGGGCGTCGTCTTTCTGTGACCATCCGCAACAAATCCACGAGACACTCGGCCAATCCAAGTGAGGATTTCACCAGGAACTCCTGGTGCAACGAGGCCAACGTCGATCGTCGTTCATCGGTCCCTGGACCCGTCCCCGGTAATGGCCTGGCTCCGCCAGTCTTCTCGGATGACATTTATGCGGGGGCGGCTGCTCGTGCCGCGGCCGCCGCTCAAAATGAACTGGCCCGAGCGCTGCGCGATGGGGTCAAGTCTTCAGAGACGAGAGTAACCAGGGACTCGGAAAGTGGGATTGGAATTGATTTGCGCGACCGCTCCGAGCTCTCTGACCCGGCTCTGGCGGTTGTGCGGATCGACCCCGTTGCTTATCTTCCTCCGGAAATTATGTCGCAGGTGTTCTCCTACCTCGACCCGGAGTCGCTGATGCAGTCAGAGCTAGTCTCTCGCGCCTGGAGTGAGCAGGCTTCTTCCCGGCATATCTGGAGACATGTGTTTCGCCACGCCTACAGACACCATCGTCCCAGTGGGCTTTCGACTAAGAAGAGGCAAGCTGCCGGTCTGGGCAAGGCCCGCCCTGACCAAGACTGGAAGAGGATGTTCCTTGTGCGGCGCGCTTTGGAACATCGTTGGAAGCAGGGCAAAGCCGCTGCTATCTACCTGCATGGCCACACGGATAGCGTCTATTGTGCTCAATTCGATGAGTATGGCTCCTCTGACCGCAAAAGAAATACCTGCCTGCTGACTCTATTCTAGGGACAAGATCATCACTGGCTCTCGCGATCGGACAATCCGCGTCTGGGATGCTCATTACCCTTGGCCATGCCGCAAGATCATCGGCCCTCCGCCTGGTGATGTTCCCGGCATTGGCCCCGTCAACAATCAGACGCAGCAGTCATCCGGCAAACCGCCCTTTCTTACCATCTGTCCTCCACCCACTAGCTCTGCAGGCATTGTAGCTTCAAGCGAACAGAGTGCGGACTACCATAGCGCCTCAATCCTCTGTCTGCAGTTCGATGATGAGATCATGGTCACTGGCTCTTCTGATTTTACCTGCATTGTGTGGGATGTTCAGAATGACTACAAGCCGATCCGTCGTCTGGAGGGACATCGGGCTGGAGTCCTTGATGTTTGTTTTGATGATCGGTATATTGTCTCCTGCTCCAAAGACACCACAATCTGTGTCTGGGATCGGCACACCGGTGCCCTGGTTAAGAAACTGCTTGGTCACCGTGGCCCCGTCAACGCCGTTCAGCTCCGTGGCGACCTGGTGGTCTCGGCCAGTGGGGACGGTATCGCCAAGTTGTGGAATGTTACTTCCGGTCTCTGCGTGAAGGAGTTTCCCAGCAAGGATCGGGGCCTGGCCTGCGTTGAATTCAGTGATGATGCTCGAACCATCCTGACGGGTGGTAATGATCATGTGATCTACCAATTTGATGCAAACACTGGAGAAATGGTGAGCGAGCTCAAGGGTCACGAGGGGCTCGTTCGGTCGCTGCACCTGGACAACATGAACCAGCGCATCGTCAGTGGCAGCTATGACATGAGTGTCAAAGTTTTTGATGCGCAGTCGGGTGAGCTGTCAATTGACTTACCTGGCTGGACGACCAGCTGGATGCTCAGCGTCAAGTCTGATTACCGGCGCATTCTTGCGACCAGTCAAGACTCTCGTGCTGTTATAATGGATTTTGGATACGGCCTAGATGGCATAGAGTTATTAGAAGAGTGAAGAACTGGATAGAGTCGCTAGACGTTCTGGCTCCATGAATTTTGCCCGTCTTTCTTGGAAAAGTTCATGATTTTGGCTTGGTGGAGTTGACTGCGTGTCTTGGTATATTTGTTTGGAATGTTTCTTGGTTTATATGATAGCGATAGAGCGCGTCGACCATTTTATCAGTCACCTAATTCTACATTGACTTATGACTTTCATCTAAATATATCCAAACTTCCACCGCCGGCCGACTTGATGTTGTTGCCTGATTTGTAAGGCTGAAGTGAGACAGGTAAGATCGGAGAGGCGGCGATTGAGATTGGACCCAATCGGGTTAGCGCCTCGCAGTCCCGTGGGTTTTGGCGACAGCAACAAAACACTCCCCCCTCTGCTCTACTTGGCCTTTGTTTTTCTCCATAATAAACAAAAGTCTGGACATATTTGGTGACAAGCCTTCGTTGTCGACTGCTCTCTAACTCCCTACGGCCTCTATTTCAATCCAAGCAATAATCCTGCCGTTCTTCCACACCCTTTTCAACCCAAAGCCCCGACCTAAAATACCCCACCATGGGCGAATCGAGGTTCGTCGAGCATTCTGTCTGGATCTCACATGCGCGGCAGCATCAGCAGTCGAGATCGAAACCGACCAAGGCTAACATAATTGGATGAACGGATAGACAAGAGCTGCTGGCATGGCTTAACAACCTGCTGCAGTTGAACATGACCAAGATCGAGCAGTGCGGTACCGGGTATGTTCTCCTTGCGAAGAAGCGGCTATTATGCCGGTGGAGGATTTTCGTCGAATGAGATCGGGATATACTGATGCCCTGGGTTTCCAGTGCCGCATTGTGTCAGATCTTCGACTCGATATTCAGTGAGTGCAGCACAATCTCGCACCCCCTTTTCTCCTTCCATAGCTGACTGATTTGTCTTCCATAGTGGATGTCCCCATGTCTCGTGTCAAGTTCAACGTCAACAGCGAATATGCCTACCTTCAGAACTTCAAGGTGCTTCAGAGTATGCGACTCACTCATATCCGGCTCAGTGTCGAGACAGCCGTGTTAACTTCTGCCCCGTTCCCTTTTAGACATCTTCGCGAAGCACCAAGTCGACAAGCCCATCCCGGTAGAGCAGCTCACCAAGTGCCGCATGCAGGATAACTTGGAATTCCTCCAGTGGACCAAGAGATACTGGGACCAACACTATCCTGGCGGTGACTACGATGCGGTCGGCCGCCGCAAGGGCTCTGGTGCTCCTCCGTCCGGACCGACTTCTCGCACTAGCTCCAGCGCTGCTGGCAGCGCCGCTCGCCGTGGCACCACCCCGACCGTGGGTGCTGCTCGCCCCCGCGCTGCCGTTGCGGCCGTCTCAGCCAACACCGCTGTCCTGCAGCAGGAGATCAATACCCAGAAGGAGGCCATCGCTGGGCTGGAGAAAGAGCGGGATTTCTACTTTGCCAAGCTCCGGGACATTGAGTTGCTGCTGCAGAGCGCGATTGAGCAAGACCCTGAGTTGGAGAAGGACGAGGACTCGTTGGTGAAGCACATCCAGGGGATCTTATACTCGACGGAGGTATGAAATGACCATATCAACCCACGCGTTCTGGTAAGGGAGAGGGTAAGCTAACTTAAGAACAGGAGGGATTTGAGATCCCTGAGGCGGAGGCCGGCGCGGACGAGCTGGAGACCTTCTGAGTCCGTCATAACCTTGGTCCTCAATATTAATACCCCCTTCATAGCACACTGCACAAGCGTTTAGTCGTCGCTTGACGACGTTTGTTTTGTTCTAATTCTCATTTTTCTTTCAATGTTCATTTTGTCACAAATTCTGCCTAGACCATTGGTCGAGAGGGTGCCTGATTTGGAGAGGGGTGAGATGGGCCCGACGATACGTAAGAGACAAAAAGGGGATGAAACCGGCACAACGTGTGTTTTGCATTTCATTTTGAGATGGATAGGGAAGCGGGGGAGGTTTCTAAAGAAAGCTTTGTATAGTCGAATCGGGATGAGAGAAACGGCCAGGCAGCCAGTCAACCCTTCCGAACTTACTTCTTCATTTCTCATGCATGTCTTGCTACTTATTGTTGTATGTGGTAAAGAAATGGAATCTCGATGGCAGTTGCGTTAAGTCCATTCTCGTGCCCATATCATCTGCATCTTATAGCTTGCTTACTGATGTCAAGAGTCACTCCCTCAAAGCCGACCAAAGTGATCTAAGTATAGTTTCCGATCATCACCCAATGGCCTACATAAGATCGCCTACTCTTCGTCACCTCGGGGAGGGCTTCTCGCCAGCTTCCAGAATCCTGCATGGTCGATCATCGGCATCTCAGCGCGATCTGAGCTTCCTCTCTCTCTCTCCCCCCCCCCCCCCCTCTCTTCCCCTCATTCTCAAGCCCATGCCATTGATCAGACACCCTCGTCAACATACCTACGAAATAGGATCTCGGCTGCACGTGCTTGACACATTCCTCAACCCCAACCAAACCACTTCGATTCGGTCATCATCATGATTCAAAAAGGGCCACAAGATCGGCTACCTAGTAGCAAGGCCAACGGACAAGAAGGTCGAGTACTGAACATTCGGGACAGCATCGTTTGACAGGGCAAGGATCCATGGAATCTTTGTACAGACTAGACCTTCATACTGGTAGGCACTAGGTACAGTAGTCATCTTCCAGCCTGTCCTGTGCGGGTTCCTACCTAGGATATAAATAGTTCCGCTGTGGGAGTGGAGATTTGAGACACGGGAATCGGATTAGAATTTACGAGCGGAAGCATACGAAAAAGGTGGGAGGGGATTACGTAGGTAGGTATGGTGATGGGAGTTCCGCTTTGGTCTAGAACTAACTCTGTTGCTTGTTTTTTTTTTCCTTTGCTTTTGGGTG